ATTATGCTTAGTAGTGTGAATCTGTTTCTTATGTTGTCAGTAAATTCTTTTGAAATATTATTTAGATCATATTTGGTATAATCACTGCTTTTTGATGAGTATGGAAGTGGTAAAAAATGATGTATAGCATCTTCAGCTTCAGGAGATAGATGGAACAGAATTAGTTGAGATATAGGTAGCTGGAAATAACATGATTGTCATGTCAAGAATCTAATGAATTCCAATGGCCTTTTTGGATGTTACATTTAGGTTACAATCTTGGAAACATTTGATTATGAGTCACTCCCACTGAATTCAATGAGGCTACCTCTAAGTAAATATGTATATGACTTCATTGTTAATGTGAACAGAATATTGCTCTGTGGAGACAGTCTAATATCCTCCCTTTCTGTCATGTGTACAGATACACAACCACACATATTACCCTTCACACTGGTAAACATACACTATCCTCTCCCTTCCATATAGGGATACACAAGTACACACATCTGCCATCTCTTTCTCTCCTTCCCCCAGCATTGATACATAACCATATACACTCCCTTCTCTCTCACACACACATTCACAGATAAACAAAGATATGCATACCACATCTCTTTCTCTCCATCTCTGTCTATTTCTCTCTCTCGCTCTCGCTCCCGCTCTCTCTCTCATTCATCACCCGACAGCTCCCTGTACTCATTCATAAATGCACACACATTCACATATAAGAATAAACATGCCAACCCAATTTTCTTAACACACACACACACAGGCTGGAAGAAAAAACTTCTTGCCCTCTGTTTAGAATGCTGACTTAGAGCCTTGAAGTCAAGGTATTCCTCGTTGACAAGGTTGTCAAGTCGTGTCTGACCATAGGGGGTAGTGCTCATGTCTGTTACTAAGCCAAAGAGCCAGAGTTGTGAGAGACTACTCTGTGATCATGTGGCCAACATGATTGCACAGAATACTGTTTACCTTCCCACGGAAGTGGTACCTATTTATCTACTTGCTTTTGCATGCTTTTGAACTGCTAGGTTGGCAAAAGCTGGGACTAGTGACAGGAGCTCACCCCATCATGCAGCCTTATTCCATGAGAAAAGAAAGCCAAAACAGATCAGGAGAGTAGCAGTTTTCTTTGTGCCTCTCTGCATGCTATCATAGCACTTCTATTCTCTTCCCAAGGGAGATGGTTGTAAAAGCATGTCTTTTGTCAAACAGATTTTTCCAGCATGACTAAAACGCACACTTTTATGACTGTCTCCCTCGGGAAGAGGATAGAAGTGCTATGACAACATGTGGAAAGGCATAAAGAAAGCTACTACTTTTCTGCTCTGTTTTGGCTTTCTTCTGTCATGCAATGTTACAGTTAGTCTCTCCTATGCTAGTTACTTTGCCAATAAGACTACCTTTTCCACTTATGTCTGATTGGTTGCTAGGGCACCATTTCCCCATAGACTGCTTCATGCCCATTTTCTTATTTGTTGACAGGTCACCCTGTGGAAAACATCCAGAAGTATTAATACCGATTGTGAGTGTTCACTCTGGCACCCTGAATCCATGGGTGTTCCCTGGGACATCCCTCTTATTTCCAGGATATTTGGGTGCTTGATGAGAGTATATTTTTCTTTGTTAATCTATGAAACCCCATCTTCCAACCAGTGCAACCATCATCTAATGTGACCAAGACTGGAAAGAAGTGGGGCTGCTCTGCTCTGTGTAGATGTATCATGTCTTCTTCCTTTCAAACAAGGTGGTGCTGTATCATGGGCCATGTTTCTTCCCCTGGGATTCTTTGGAGATCCCATGAACTGCCAAATTTGTCCAAAAATGGGTAGGAAAACAGAGGTATGCAGAAATCCACTTCTGGCTTTGAAAAAGAGTTTTTAAATTTTCAAGCAGTGTGTGTGTGTGTGTGGTGGGTATATCCTATTTAAAAGTGTTGTTGATGTTGCTAGAAGTTTTTGGGAAAACTAATTGAACTGCAAAAACTTTGGATAAGTTTTGCGAAAAGCAGCCTGAGGAGGATCATATTGTGTTCCTGGGCTGTATTTTTCCAAGCACTACTTTAAACAATAGAAACCTAATACTTTATGATGACCTAGAATTGATAAACATTCAGTCAAAATATGGGTCCTTTGCAAGCTCAGGAGAGCCAGATAGGCCCATATTTGACACCATCCTTCCAGTCCTGCTCACTGCTTTTCTTTAAGATTGCCATAGGGGAATATATTAAGTATGTGTGTCCCATGTGCCTGCTCATGTTTAGCCCAGGCATCTTTGAAGTATTGATGGAGAAGAACAGGACAATCCAACTGGGGATGCCATATCTGCCATTAGTTAAAGCAAAGAATGTGGGGAGAGGTGGGGGAAAGGCAGAGGGACTGCTCCCTCTCCACCCATACAATAGCATTAACCTTGTGGTCTTAAGTGGTCATCTTCTTATATCTTTGTCAAATTTTACCCCATGTTCAGAAAACAGATTACTTTTGTCCACAAATGTCACTGGTATGTAAGAAAAAAATGTCTGTATGTCATTCCTATATGATATACATACTTGGGATAAAGAGATTAATGCATATTTCTCACACATAATGCCCTATATATACTGGGAGGGATTCATATTGTGTGGAACTGAGCATCAAATAAAGAATGCTGAACTGCATTCTTTAAAAGCATTTTTCACAGTTTCTAGCTTCTTCTTGGAATGCCTCATTGCATTTAAGCCTAAACACCACATTTATTATTTGAACCTAATGCTTGGTTTATTAGGAAAATAAAATTTAAAATAAAAAATGTGTTACTGCTTGGTTTTAATTAGTTCTTTGTCAACTCTCCCCCCCCACCCTGCAAGTGCCTCCTGTAAAGTTAAAGTGAGTGAATTGGACAGTTTGAAATTAAAATGATCTGAAAACATAATCTTCTCAACTCCCAAGGCAGGTCATTAGCCATTTTTATATCATTTAAATTTGCTAATAAAGTAGAATTTAATGGTCTTTACTGACAAGAAAGAAGGCTTAACCATAGGAAAAAAACAGATCGTTCTCATCAGTGAACGGGAAAAAATTAATGAACAAAAAAGTTTATAAATCAGACTATGTGGAGCAGAATATCAAGCAAAGAGGACAAGGCAGAATGCTTATTGAAATGTACAAGCAAACCTTTCTTCTGCATGACATGATGTTTCTGGAATTCGTGGCCAATGCCCTATATAAGGGGGCAGAGCATAAAGATTTGCCAACATACATCTCCTGGTCTCCTGTCCATAGCACAATAGGGTTTTTCAGTGCTGGAACCTGCTCTCTTAGCCAATGAGTGATCAAAACTCTGAGGTATCCAGGTAGTGTCCAATTGCAGTTTTGGTAGAGAGCCAGTGTGGCATAGTGGTTTGAGTGTTGGACTACAACTCTGGAGACTAGGGTTGGATCCCCCACTTGGCTTCACTCCACTCTGGACTAGAGTTTGCTTTCCCATGAAGCCCACTTTCCTCTTGGGAAAGTCACACTCCTTTGGCCTCAAAGGAAGGCATGTACATATATCTGAATAAATCCTGCCAGGAAAACCCCATGATAGGTTTGCCTTAGGGTTGCCATAAGTCTGAAATGATTTGAAGGCACACAATAGTAACAACAACAACAAAATAAAAGAACAATGTAATTTTCCTGGATTCCAGTGAGTATGCTAGATGTGCTGTCACAAATTAGAGATCAGGAAGGACAATATCTACCCTTCTCTCCTGTCCATGGAACCATGATTGGATGTTTCCTGGGTCCTCCCAACTTCCCCATCTACTAACTGGCCTGCAGGCATGATCCAGTGTGGGAAAGGTCTGTTGCACTGGTGATTTTGTTGGGGACAACAAACATAGCTTGTAGTTTAAAAAACAAAACTTTTTTAATGGCTTCAGTATATATATATGCACACAGGCTACATCCTAATTAGCTAATGAACAGTTCAGGTAAAAGAAGAAATCTTTATCTCACCATCTTTCTGAAGAAAGTTGATAGAGCAGGGAGATGGAAGACTGATTGATGGAGGAGATTTTCTTTTTTTTTGAGAGAGAGAGAGAGAGAGAGAGAGAGAAACTTCCTTTAAAAAGTGAGCTGAATCACATGATATGTTTACCAATTTACAAAGGTTTTTATTGCCCCTGTGATTCAGCAAGAACCAAATGGTATGTTTAAAGAGAGGACAGAGCAGAGTTTGCATGCGTGGAAGTGTTGGGATTTGAGAGTCCACACAGTGAAATACCCCATGGGTTTGAAGAAAAACTTCTAATCTCATTTTCCACTCAGAGTAATTATCTGGGGTGAGCTTTAAACTTGAAGATTGTAAGGACATCTTTGCAAAAATAGTCAGCCAAAATCAAAACTCAAAACACAGCATCAATAAAAGCATCAGCAGCTCAAAAGCAAAAATTAAAACTCTCTCTGGTAGACATGTGTTATTAAGGGAGAGTGGATAAAACCGCAACAAACAATAACAATAAAAAGAATGATATCAATTCAACTAAAAACAAAAACAAAACAGCAGTAGCCAAAGAAAGCCAAATATATATATGGATGGAATCCCACCTGAAGTTTGGAAACACGGAGGTCATGTACTCCATGCTAAATTCCACAAACTCCTTGTGCGTTGCTGGGTAAAAGGGGAACTGCCATCAGATCTCCGAGATGCAGTCATC